AAGCAAACAGAGAGACATTCATATATGCTTTTTCTGAGTTCCTTCCCTCTATTTCTGTTTATTTATTATTCTGAGGGGCTTGAAGTACAAATGTGTTCCTAGCATTAATTATAGCATATATTATCACTACTTAAAGAAGAAATATTGTGTGCATTTTTCATTTTTCATTATTATATCTGAACAATATTTATATTATTTTTTATGTTATTTCATATTTACACTGTACCAAACACCCAGTAAGCTACATTCAGATAGGAGGAAAGACGAAAATGTGGCACATTTGTTTGCCATTAATTATTACTGGTTTTTAATCCCGGTCCTACCTTCTCTGTGGCAGTTTTCCCTGGGTGGAAAGGGGCTAGTGGCTGAGGGATGTGGGGCCATGTGTACATGAAGTGTGGGATGCGGTCTGCTGAGGGCTGCCATTGCTCTCCCAGACAGCTTATTCTTGCTGAATCCTGCTGGCACTTGGTTTGGGAGACATGGCCCAGAGCCTGCAATAAAACCCACCAAGCCGCAAGGAGCAATCCTGCAGCCACTCAGGGCTCTGGTTGTTGCCAACGTGCCCCCTCAGCAGCAGCCGGACATGAACTCCAGGACAACTGCGTGTCCTGGCTTGAGGTCAGGACAGGACTTCCCCAGGCAATGCCTTCACTTTTCTTCAGGTGATGGAGAAGCAGGGGCAGATCATATGAGAAAGTGTGGCTTTGCTGCTCAGTTACCATCACTAAAAATATTTTTGCTTAAAGAGATATCAAATCAGTGCTGCCAGCTTCACCATACAGTCTTAAACTGGTCCCTGTCTTTGCATCAGAAAGTATGTGCATTCATTTAGCGTGAGGAACTAGAAGCAAAGGGAAGAAAATCAAAATACCACATCTCTTCGTGTAGCATCCAGTTTTTGTCTGGGTTTACTGAGGTAGCTGATGAAAATCAGAGGTGGTCCCTTTGACTACTGCAGTATCAGGATGAGCCCTCAATAATCTTAAATTCATCCTCTGACTGCCCTTTCCTCATGACTAGAGTGCAATGAGGCAATAACCTCAGATATTTGAACATCCCACAAAACTTGTGGGTGAGGTTAGAAACCTCTATGCAGCTGATTTAAGCCTGTTGGTTCTGGGTTGTTTTCTTCTTTATAAACTACATAGACCTATGCTGTAGACTCCCCCAGGTTGGAAGCCATTCGGGCAGATGAATATTAGAAAATTAATACTGATGGATTTAAGGAAGAACCAGTCTGTTCATTGGAGAGATACAAATATGAACTAACGGTATGGTTGTATGGCTTTATTTTTCAAACTCTGCAAGTAGAGATATATTCTAAATATGGTATTTTGGGCCCATTTCCTAATGAGATCCCAGATATGGCAGAGTACGAGCACCTCAGCAATAAGGACTAAAGCTGATCAAGTGAATTTTGCATAATTATGAAGGGAGAACTTAAAGAACATAGCATATGTCACACATGCCCCAAAAGGGAGCACAGACTGATAACATAGACTGATATCAGAGGCAAAAGAAGGAAAACACCAGGTATGAAAGCATAGTGCAGACCTGAGGTGAGTACCAGAGAGGGAAGCAGTTAGATTTATGCACTTATACTATTAGTGTGCCTATTAACAACTAAGGTAGATTATTCCTACTAAGTACCTTGAATTTCTTGGAAAAAAAAAAAAATCTAGGTATTGCTGAAATTCAGTTGGTTTTGTTTGGCAGGGAGGAAAAAATTATAATACAGTCAAAAGATTTGGGACAACATTTTCTTAGAATCTAGACAGCAAAATGACCACTTGGTTGGGTTTGGATTTGACAATCTGATACTAACATTAGCCAGAAAAATCAATAGTCTTATGCTTTTCTCCTGCACAATAATAATAATAATACATCTGTGCATTCACAGGTGATAATGTCACAACATAGACAATAAATGCTCACACTTACCAAAGCTGTGAGCCAAACAAAGCCTCAAAGACTATTTAATCACCTAAACAGAAGCTTCATTTTCCTAAGTGCTGTGGCTATAGTGACTTTCATGGAATTCAGTAGGTTTAACTAATTATTTTAGTTTCCTTTCTTTAATATTGCTTTCAAGTACATTTTACTGTGTTTTATTTTGTTTTTTTTTTTTTAATTTTATTTCCAGTGGGACTATTTTTAAATAACAGATTTCTGTTATCATATTGATAAAGGTGTTGTATGTGAAAAGTTTTTTATGGGCGAAGAAGATACACCTTATAGATAAAGCCAAGATTTATTATTATTATTATTATTATTATTATTAGTTAAATTTTAATAATGTAATCCAAGAATCATTGTTAGTTGAGATCTAATTCTACCAGATAATGATACTTCTCAGCAGAAAATGTTTTGGTAATAATAATAGTCAAAATTGTTATACACGCACTTCTTAGCTTCTACTGCTTTTCCTGGTGTTTCATCCACTCTTCCCCTGCTCCTTCAGGTCCTGAAATGGGCAGTTTCAGACGAATGAGGGTCAGTGGGGACATTATGGCATGTCTTTGGCATCTGGAGTCCTTTGCTGGGAAGGGTATGATGTTCCTCATGTTGGTTTCTTTTTCCTCACTCTAGGATCTACCTGGGGGCATTTTTATTTTTGCTAACACATTTTTAGACCTTGCTGTTTCCTCACTGATCTGAAGCTCCTCATTACAGCCAGGTGTACTACACACAGTGCCTTTCACCTATGTATGTTAGATACTTCTTTGTTCCCCTTGTTACTCCTAAAAGGAATTTTGTCCAGCATCAGATCTGCATTTCTTTAGCTGAGCACTGAGCAACTGTTCATAGATGTGAGGTCTCCAGTGCCAGCCTGTTCCCATCTCTATAGCAATGGCAATGCCATATTATGGGGCTACAGGGTGACAGAGGACACAATACAACTCAGTCATGCTTCATATAGCAAAAGATATATATATGTAGAAAATGTGAAGTAACCTACACATGAAAGGTAGCTGTAGTTTAGAGTGTCAAATATATAATTTTAAAATATATGTCTTTAAAAATATGTACTTTTAAAAAATCTACTCATCTGTCTGTTATAATGTAAACAGTACCTGAGTGTTGGAGTTGGATCTCTCCATTTTGCTTTTGTTTTACAAGGTATTTTTCAGTCTCACATCTGACAGAGCTGACATTCTAGTTATTCATTATCAGGTAATATTCATATAGATCCAAGAAATGCTGAACTTCTTTAAAAAATTCCGATGTAAAGACAGTCCAGTACAAAATTCTTTATGGTGGAATTTTACCTGTAAATCAGCAAAAGGCACAGTGGGAGCACTGGGGCAAGGCAAGAGCAGCAGGCTGGATTTATAGTCCCATGTTTGCTTATTTCTAAGGCACAGTCCACAGCCCTCTATTTGTTTATCTTCAGGAATATGTAATGTGTTTCTTCCTATTTATTCCTGGGTGAGGGTGTGTATGACTTAACATGAGACACCAGTCCAGAGATGTGCGTTAGATGCTGAGAGCTTAAACCCATGAAATTTTTATCTTTTTAAATGTCTACTGCCTGCAAGGGGGTGGTTGCAGATGCAGCACCAGGGAGTGTGCAGCTGGGCAGTTATTACTGTGCCTCGTGACCAGGAGTGCACGCGTTGCATTAGTGATAAGGCAAAAGGAGAGAGAGCATCCGCATTTCTTTTATCTTCTGCATCTGCAAATTGGCACTTTGGGTATCGCTGTGAACACTGAGAACCAGGTACAGAGGGTCAGGTTTTCCCCTTGCTTGTACTCCTGTTAATCCATTTAACTCAGTATCACAAAGTGTTAGCGCAAATCAGCTGCTGTTAGTGTTTGGGCTGTGATATTCCCTGCTGATAAAATTTGTCCATTTCCCTTCCACTGTAGAAAATGTTGGAGTGCTTAGCAACTGGAAGTTAAGCTATACATAGTGATTTATCTTTCAGAGGTGATTCTTAGTTTTGAATAATTTTTTTTCATTACCCAGATAGGAAACTTTGCAGTCTTATAAAACAAACAAACAAAAAAAATTAAGAACGAGTTGAACTGGTTCTCTTGGGGGGATGGCTGCGCCGGACTGATTTTCATGTGAAGGAAGCACAGGTCACTCCAGGAGCTCCTCACATTTCAGATTCCTTCATCGTACTTTTCAGTAATTCAGGTGCTTGTTGCACTAACTTGTGAGGTGCAAATCCAGGGGTGTGCGTGGGGAAAGGGCCAGTATGTTTTTAACAGCAGATCGCCAGCAGTCTGCAGCTCACAGGGTAATCGCTCTGGCAGCAGTCATCCTGATTCTCACACAACTGCAAGACTTTCAGTTTGGGCTCTAATGAGCCACGCTATTATACCCGTTTTTGAGTGACTGATGGTGGGTGCAGATAAGCGAGTGGAAAATTCCTTTAAATGCAGCTCCTCCTCAGCTTGGTTACCACATCCTACCCAAATATGCATAATGACAGGTAAGGGCTTCCACATTTCCAGCATTATCTTGTCAGCTGAATACAGCACTGGAGAAAGCTGTGCTTGGATTGATTCAGGCAGGTTATTCGTGCGTTTGCAGGAAGTATTTGTTTAAATGTAATAAGGCCAAACAAAGAACACGTTGAACAAGTAGGATGCAGATGCATGAAATGTTTGAAAGGGTCAGGCCTTCTTTTCCAATTTCTTCCCTGTAGACTGTTTGAGAAATTAGTAATAGGAGTTGTAACTAATATTGCAAGGTTGCTGTATAGGTATTCATATGCTTAGACTATTCTGCGTGGTACAGTGGGTTCAATATTGTCATTCTGAATTGAACTTTTACACACATAATTACATGGAGCTGAAGTAAAAATCATGTCTAATATAAACATAGTATTCTATTTCAAGTGGTTAATCAAACTTAAAGTAAGAAAATCCAATAATGGGAAGCTTAAAAATAGAACCTTTCCTTTTTATTAATTTAAGCCATGTTAAAGGACAAAAATGGATCATGAAAGCTTATATTTAGGCTCTTACTTTTCTTTTTTTAATAGGACTGGGAGTTTCCACATTTTATGGGTGATTTTGAAGTGAATCTTCCAGGCTTGCCATCTGCACACATGCAGTTCCAAGTACCTTATTTACAAAAGATCTTCAAAGAGGAATATCACATTCATGTAACAGGTATGTAATCTTACAGACTGTGACTCAGTCACACAGTGGACTGGACTGCTTCTGTGCAATAAATGTATGCTAACATGTTCTGAACCACGTACTTTTGTGTGTGTGTGTGTGTCCCAGGCTACTACTTTTCTATCTTTATCTGTCCGTATCCATATCGTCCATACATAAAAATCTCCAGGAAATGAGGAACCTTTATCATATGAATTGGAGAGACCTGCTGTTTTTCATGAATTTCAGCTACTTCTTGTGACACTAAGTAATACCTAATATAGCTTCAGAGATCTTTTATCTAAAATTACTCTCTAGGGGAATTAGCGGCTTATTTCATTTTCAAATCTCTTTTGCTTTCAGATGCCTTTGCTATGATTTATGCTAATATCTTTTCATAACTTCGGTCATTCTCATCTGGCAAAGGCCACTTATAGCCATACTTCCATCAGTCATCTAACCAGAAGCAGACAGTTAAATAACCTCAAATAAAATAGAATTGCAGTTATTCAAATGGATGGTACATACGGATAAAAAGTACCTGATCCTTGCGTACTGTGAGACAGTATTTAATAACAGTGGGGAATGAAAAAGAGAAAAAGGTTAAATAGGGATAACTATTTTGGTTTTACCTCCAAGCTATGCAGAAAGAGCATAGCTCCTCTCTCTACATTGGGAAAAGCTGGATAATGATGGATAGTAAAAGAATGCAAGTGTGAATTGGCAGGGGTCTTTAACTGCTAATATAAACACTCACAGCACATGATACTATACAGGAATAAAATAAATGAGGGCATCCAGTGACACAGCCATATGAAATTCCTGACACGAAGGGACAAAAAGAGCATTCAGAGATAATACAAAGATAAGGCCAAGAGCTAGCAGGTGAGTCACAAGCTCACCAGACAGCACAAGACCAGGGAAGAAAATGTGCTGAGGAGGAAAGAATGGTGAACCCTGGATTCAGTCAAGATAGATTGAATGAGGCCTCAGAAAAGGTATTTTTCAGGAGAGAAGATAGAAATTTGAATGAAAGGTTGAAAACCAGAAAAGAAGAAATAATGAGTGCAAAAGTTACCTGCTGACTATTTAATAAGAGAAGGCAAAAGGGACAGTAGGAAGTACAGATGGAGGGATGGGAAGTTTTTCAAAACTGGATGTAGGTGTTGTGCTGGAATACCAAGAAAGAACAGCCAGCCAGCAAGAAGAGGGAAGGGCAGGGGCATGCCTGAATGAGACCATTTGTGCAATTAGTGGTTTATGGAACAGAATGAAGTCAGTGATTAGAAGGTGTAGGGTGAGAGAAGATGGGATATGTACATGGTGAACACATTTTTTTCTCCCAAGTGAGCAAAAAGGGAAAGAAGAAAAACAGAGTATAAGCATCAAGTATTTGATATAGGCAAGATGGGCAGGGATAGTGAAGAAGACTTTTTTCTAGTTCTCAAGACTAGAGCATTAATTTGTGGGGACTTAGTCCCACAAGGCTCCTGGATGCCCTGCAGTTATTTTGTTGTATAAGGAAAAGTAGTGGAATGGCCGCACAGAGGAGCATGAACAATGACTCAGACATGGTAGGATGGGCTGTGCCATCAGATACAGAAACTCAGGATATAGTTAATGTAGATGAAAAACAATGGGTCTTAGAAGAAGGACTGAGAAGCAAAGAACAGATTTGCATTGTAGAAGAGACAGAGGTATTGATAATAAACAGGGAAGAGCAAAAAATAAGCAACAGCTAAGAACATAAATTAGGGATCAGAAATACAACTACTAGCAATGCTGCTATGTAAAAACAGAGCAACCAAGAGAAACCGATATTTATGCACTGTAGAGTCTTCCACAGAGAGGACTGGAGGCCTTTCTGATTTTCTGGAGAGAGGGCATTCTTTTAATGAGGGTGAGCTAATGAATAGTGGCTGAGGAATATTTTTCCCTGCTCAGCATTAACAAGATCCATTTATAGATTCACTAGACAAATCAATCCATTTGACTGCATGTCACGTACTCTGTCTACTGAGTCCCTGTTTTATCTCAGTGCTACACCACCCTTTAGGAGATCTAATAAACATCCATAACACATGGCACAAGAACCTCCCTTTGGGCAAGTTTTGCTTGAACCATCTGTTCTTGCCATAAGTTCTTGTCTTAGGTTAGGGTATCGTCTTGGATCATTTTCAAGCTCGAGTTATTGTGTGGATGTGTAGATACTTGTAATTTTCTGCTCGAATCAAGGAGCTAATAAAAGAAAGAACCGATTCAATATATATATATATATATACATATAACAAGATGAATATAATCCTTTCTAAAATGAGAGTAGAGGATGATGCACATGAATGCAACTGCAGCAGATGACATGGGGGTAGGACACTGATAATGGCAGGAAGCCTGCTGTATTTAAGCTCTGTTTAATACATGGAATCCTGAATGGTAAATTTAACCATAGGGCTTCTTTTTAGTAACAAGCAGGAAAAGAAGACTAAGGCCTGAATATCATTTGTTTTAGTACTTGCTGTAGGGATAAAGTCAGGCTGTGAATCTATGACCTGTTCCCTGATTTGTAGAAACTGGAAATGTTTTTCTCCCAAATGACAAGGAGAAAGAAAGCGTGGCTGAAATAACATGTGCTATCTTTTTCATGACCAATTTTATTCTTCATAAGCTGTTTTGCAGTCTGTTTTGGTCACTGTTGATTGGTATTTATATAGAGCAGCCATAGAACTCCCCAGAGGAGCACTATTCGGTGCTGGGTTGCTCTAATGAGCAACAGTCACACAAAGAAGCAGCTCTTCATAAAGGGACAGTCAGAGGAGTAAAGGACTTTAAACCACCTTTCTGTTGGTGTGTGCTTAATGGTTTTGTGCAAGGTCTGTACAAATGAAGGATTTCACAGTTACGTGCTCTGTGTTGCCAAGTCTACTGACTATCACAAGTCTTAAGATAGTTTCTTTTTTTTCTTGCTATTTTATCCTAAAGTCTTAGCTCCTGAATTGAGTGTCTACATGAGAATTTCAGCTTTCATAAAATAAAGCACATTATTTCAGTGGAAAAAATGAAATGTTGCTTCTGCATAACTTCATGTCTAAAAAAGCAGATAAATAAAACTACAAAGTGTATTATTTTAACTGATCTTGCTACTGTAAACAAATAACATGCTTCCTTAGGCCCAGCTTGTGATTTCTGAATGTTTTAAGTTGGCAGTAATATTGAATTAACATCTGCAGCCTGTAGCTGATATGCTTCAGTGTAATTTTAAATTTACTATCAAAAGCATATCTTATTTTTGCTGGTAACTGAGGAGCTCATTTTGCTCAAATTTCTTTGCATCTAGGAACTCCTAGCAAGTATCTACTCAGTATTATACAGTTTTATCCTGTTTTGATAGCTGCTTTTATCTATGAGCATCAAAAATAACCTGAATTCCTGCATCTGCTTAACTCATCTGGATTTCCCTTGACATATGGTTCATTGCAAAGTGTGTGGTTTCCTTCCTGGGCTGCTGTTTATGAAAATACATAGTTTATCCTAGTTTCTATAATACCCAGGGAAATTTGCGAAACTTAAAAGTAAATTTTGTTACTTCAGATTCTTTCATGGTTAAAAGGTGCTAGTGGGCCTGCCTGGTACCCTTTAATAGCAGCACTGGAGATCCAAGAGCATCTGCTGTCAAGTATGTTGATAAGTTTCAAATACGAAATGTTTAAGGTTTGAGAATCAAAACAGATGGGGGATTTTTCTGGCTGTTCTTAAATGTGTTTCTAAGTGCTGATCTAGCCAGAGTGCCCTTCCACCCAAGGGAGAAATTGTCACCTTCATGGCTGGCGAGTGCCTAGCAGGGCTGGCTTGTGGAATTAAACCAAAAGTGTGTCTGCATTCAGGCCGAGCATCGCCTACACAGAGAAGCCTGAGGGAGCCCGTGGGCAAAAATAGAAAGGTTAGAGGTAAAACCAAAGCTGTTTGTGCACACAGATGTGAAAAACCCTCAGAGGATCTGTGGCTTAGTTCAGCTGTGAGTGGTCTGTAGGCATGTATCTAGCTAATAACGCTAACATGGCGGAAGATATGAAGAACATTTCAAAGATACCTGAACGTTTTATAGAGGTGTCTGAATGTTTCTAGACATGAATTGCAATTGAGATAAGAGTCAAAAGTCCACATTTCCTACACTAGCTTCTGGCTGTGGTTGCACAGCATGAGGCCACTTGAGTCTAGCCTTAATTAGTGGATTTTTTACATTTCCGCTTGACCTCAGGAGAGGTGCTGAGGACAGGCTTCTACACGAGATCTCTTTTTGAGACTATGACTGTTCTGTTACAGAGTGGACATACAAAACTGAAAATGCTCTGGAATCAACAACTGTTTTGGAATATTTGGACTGGTGGGATCTGCCTCATTTGCCCAGTAAATCATTTGCACATGGGATTATGGACTGTTTGCTGAACGTTTCGTGGGCCTTATCAGCCTCTTTTAAAATGCCCACTGCCCATACATCTTGTTCTTGTGGTGAAAATAGGTGTCTTTCTGTTAAAAGGAAAAAGAAAAATCCATACCTCTTTTGCCATGAGAAGGCCTCTGGCATTGCCGTGCAGTGCACAGTTGTTCAGCTTCCTCGCGGAGGGGAGAGCATTTCCAAGCAGAGTCCCATATGGGCTGGGGTTCAAAGCATGGTCCTACAATGCACGTCTAAGCTGCCATAAATGGAGATTGTTCTAGAGTCAAGGCTTCCCTTCTGTTGAGTGCCCTAGACATGAATATACAATCCTTCTCAACAGCTATGCTTTCTCAGAAAACTGGAGTCGAGTTTTCATGCACAAATGGCTACAATGCCTCAAAAAAGGTTTCACAGTTTGCATCACAGCCTCACAAGGACAGCCAGTGCGTACTCTTTGCTATCTACATACCTTCAGTTTTTGGTTTTGAGGATCTTTATTGCACCAAATTTCAATATTGCATCACGTTTCCAAATACACCAAATCAGATTCCTGACTCTCCAAATGTCAAGTGTAGCATGTAAGGATGTGTCAGCGCTGTGAAAGCCATTTATTGACCAGGTCTTTTTTTAGGTAGTGCATGGCTGAATGACACAGCCTATTTCACCACCTGATTTTCTTCATTGTAACTTCATTGAAGAGTCCAGGTATAATTCTTTGCAGCTTACTGAAATGATTGACCAGCCTTCCAATCTTGAGGGCTGGTCTTACTGCATCCTTCCATTTCAAATTGTGTCTATGAAAAATTCACCTGCTCTGAGAAGGGTTAAATGATGCTAGATGTATTCCAGTATTCTTGGCCACACAGACCTCACTGGAGTAAAGACAACCTTAGAGCAATAGTGGTACTAATCCTACAGAAATTAGTTAAGAGACAAATTAAATGGCTTCATAGGGTGGGGGTCTCATTTTCCCATACCACTTTTCATCTGTAATGAAAGTTGAAGTACTCTAAAAGAAATTATAAATATATTTTTAAAGAAAATTAATATCTATAGCTTCATAATTTATTTATTCTGACCGTTTGCTAAACTACAAAATTGAATTTGTTTATGCACAAAGTGAGAAGTAAGGAGTGACCTCTAATTTACCAAGCTTATTTACTGTGTAAGCTCTATATATGGCCTAAAGTTTGCCATAAAAAGTATTATGCTAAAATTAAGTTGCAATACACAATCATTTCAATTGTACAGATTATACACATGTATAATGTTAAGGGTTGGTCAGTACAATAAGTCTCAAAAATTACGTATCACAGGGTATTGTCATCAAACATATGCTTGTGAGTGGAGACTGTCAGGCCTCTTGTTTCAGTCTTTTCCAACACTTTTGTCACAGATCTGGGATTGCTCGGTAAACCGGACTTAATTTTCTATCATGGTTGTTAGTACGGCAGTAAAGTACTAACAACTTGGAAGAGGGATAGGCAGTGGAGAACAATGTATTCTAGAAAGCGGCAAATACTTTCTGTAAGTAAGCAAGACAGCACTAACTCCTAGTCCTTTTGTATCTGAGGAGATTAACACAGCCCTCGGCTACAGGGAGTACTGAGTAGGAGTAGGAAGGTGCCGTTGTGTTCATATGCAGTTATAGTGGGGCTGTTACTGATATACAGCATTTGGTTATGGTGACAATAATTTTCAAAAGAAAAGGAAAAAATCCTAGAGCTCATTGAGCATGACAGTTACGCAGAGGATGAAGATCCACTATAGAACAGAGGCAGATCTCAGACAACTAGCTGCCACTTAGACATACAGGTTGCAATCCATCTTAGTTAACAGGTATCTGCATTGAAGCTATTTGTCTAAGCACCCCTTGTAGTCCACACTGACCCAACGTTCCCCACAGTGGAGCTCAGGGCTGTCCTCCTGCCTGCATAATTCTGTCTAGGAGCTGAGTGAAGGAGTTTCAAGTTCATGCTTTTGATGAAACAGGAATAACAGAAAGGCATATCTTTCTTAGATCAGGTGAGCACTCAAATTCTTAACATACGAGGGGTAGACCTTTTTAAGACAGCATAGGAGCGATGCTACATGAAGCCTGAGATCAAGCACCTGGCTACCTCTATTCAGCATTTTTAGTGTTTTCTGCTAGCTTCGTGGTCAACTTCTTCACCAGCAGCAGGCTGCCATCTCAAGTCTTACTCCTTAGGTGGCTTGCTGCACATATGTCACATTTAGGAAAGGTGGTTGCTGTAAAATTCACTGGGTGAATTCAGGCCTAGAGAGGAGGTAGGTCATAGCTCAGCACTGCAAAGTCTTACGTTTTATTTGTCAGTCATGCCTGAAACCTACAATCAAGGTCACGGGTTTGATCTCCACTCGGTCCCCATGTATTGCCTGATCTAGTTGAGAGGCGTCCCTGCCCATGACAGGGAGGTTGGATTAAATGATCTCTAAGGTCCCTTCCAGCCTAGGCCATTCTATGATTCTGTGAAAACTGAAACAGTGTATTTCAGCCTTTGAAAAGGCTATCTCAGTAATGTTCCCATTTCATTATGCTTCATATTTGATCTTTCAATTGGCTATTTTCTCCCTACAAATCTTCACCCTTGCCACGTCTAGCTGAAGTGGAAGAGCAATACTGGTCCTACATGAATTTTTCCCCTTCCTACTATCCCCAGGGTCAATCAGATGTCTCTGGAAAGTCATCTGTCTTGGCTCTGCACAAACACAAAGTACCACAGATAATATTTTGATGAAGCCAGTAACAAAAGAAGTGGAAGAATTTTTAGATGGGTTTTTGGATGCATTTTCCTGAGAAAAGAGTATGGCTTAAGGAATTAGCTTCGGGACAATGCAGCAGGGGGTTGCTTTCTGGTTGAAACAGCTTACTGGTTGAAACATGGCGTAATATTTGATGACAAATTATTATTTCAAAAAGTGTCCAGGTGAACAACCATAACAGTAAGGAAATTTAGAATGCAGTAAACTGCTTTCTTTCAAACTGGCCATAGATAAAGAGATAATAGTTCTAATATTAGTTTCATTGTAGGTTGTATTTAGCCTGTATACCTAAGGAAATGAGAATTATGATCTCTGTGGGAGTTGGTTTCACTCTATCCAACACTCAGTATCAAATAACTTTTGAACCCACAGCCAGTTTCAACAAAAAATTTCAGAGGGTGGTAATCTGAACAATAATGACATCGTTGTGTCCTGAGGAACGGTGGTTAGGTGAAGGAGAATCATCTAAGTCAGTGCCCAGCTGAGGAAAAAGCAGGGAGAAGTCAGACATTATATTCTGTTTGACAGCAGCCAATTGATCAGTAAATATGTGTGTCTTAGCCAGCCCATCAACACACACTGTGCAAGATATATTCTGTCTCTGTCTGTTGAAAGGTCATAGGTGATGGGGAAGCTGGGGTTATTGTGATGGAGAGAAATACACAAAATACAGGGCAAAAATCCACGAGAAACAGCATCAAGGTAGATTGTATTGTTTGTTATTTTATTTCATGTTTTGCAATCATTTTCAGTGTATTCATGTTGACTTAAGAAACTTACATATTATAAAATGTGGTGGTAATTTTCTAGAACACAGGAAAAAAAAAGTAGAGGAGTTATTCAGGAGTTATGTGAACAGGACTGGCTGCAAGGTCTTTTTAGCGCAGCTTGACTTCTGGATAGCGACAGTAACACAAGAGAATGAACATACTTGTTCATCTTCACTCTAAGTATAATCTGGACTGAAGAGGACTATTACACACAATTGCTGAAACAGAAGGAGTTACCCTTCTTGCACTCTTGGAGCATTCTGCTTATACAGTTTGAACACACAGACTTTCAGGAATACATTTATTCTTTACAAGCTAATGGCATAAGTAATTTGATAGATGCTCTGACACATTCATTTTCTTTTCTGCTTGAAACATACTTAAATATGATTCCAGCATAGACCAATATCACTCATCACCAGCAGGAACATTCCTTTATGAATGTCCTTTCGCATGATGCTGACATGTAGATTTCCTGGGTTCTTGGGTGGTGTCAGACATCACTGCACAGGTAAGATCATGACATATGGCCAGCTAGAATGTAAGAGATGCTTTGACTATGAAAATAGTATAATTTCTTTTGTATATTCATAGGATAATTTAGGCTAGAAGGGACACCTGGGGTTCATCTGGTCCAACAGCCTACTCAAAGCAGGGCCAATTTTGAAAAAGTTATTTTTAATGTCTTTTGGCTGCCTGGAGGAAGCGTGCAAAAGAGCAGTTTTAAATAATAAAAGGAGAAAGGTTTCCTCCTCCAATATTGCAGGAGCTTAATGTTAGACTATGAGTCATTTCTTGGAGGAGTGACTCGCTACATGCACGATAGGACAAGCTAAGCTGACTACCCTCCCAGAGCTATGATCAGCCCTTGATGTTTCTTGAGGGTGTAATATCTCTAAATCACAGTTTATCTAATTGTCGCCACCTGAATATGTGTGCAGACCATGGTTGGTACTTCAAACAATATGCAAATATACTCTTAAAATTTACATAATTCCAAAAATTGCAGTCACTTCAGTCACTCCTGGCATATAAACAACTCTATCAGATATGACCTTTTCATGGAAAAATTTGATGTAAATATTTTTTAAGCCCTGACATTAATGCTATACCACATCACCTAGTGGTCAAATCAACAGGTCACTTACAAACTGCAATGTGAATTCAATTAATACACTGCTGTGCTTGGGTTGCCTAATTATTGTATTATGTGCCCAGACCTCATTGTGAAATACCAGGGGACATTCAGCATAAATCTGACTATGGAGAAAATTTTATTACGATTTTACTTTGCAGATTAACTATTTTATTTTATTTTTCCTCTGAGTAGCTTTTACATATGCCTGCATTTGTACTGCTTCTAAAATGGATGTATCAGATGACAGAATTTTCTTTTTCCAAACAGGCAAATGGTTTAACTATGGAATTATCTTCCTTGTTTTAATCTTGGATCTCAATATGTGGAAGAACCAAATATTTTACAAACCACATGAATATGGTCAGTATATTGGTCCTGGACAGAAGATCTACACAGTGAAGGACTCAGAAAGCTTGAAAGACCTTAACAGAACTAAGTTATCTTGGGAGTGGAGATCCAATAACACCAACCCATTGACCAACCGGACCTATGCCGAAGGAGACATGTTCTTGCACAGCAGATTCACAGGCTCTAGCCTTGATGTCAAATGTCTGGCCTTTATTCCCAGTTTGCTGGCTTTTGCTTTGTTCGGTTTCTTCATCTGGTTCTTTGGGCGATTTCAGAAAACTGACCAAGGCATGGAGAATTTAGACAAATCGTACACAAGAATGAAACGAAAGTCACCGTCAGATATGGGAATGACACGAGAAAATACACAGGTGTTAGTAGAAGAACCATTAAGTTTTCAAGAACCACATCTCGTATCCATAAAATCAGACTTAAGTGAAATAGTTTTTAATTCTTCTCTCCTGACTTCAGAAAACCTGAACGCACAACTGAATGAACAAGATAGCCCTTTACAGCCAGTACCAGAGTCCTCTGTCCCTAAGAGTAATCCTGTGACATAGAGGCAAATACCCAGGAAAATCAGTTTAAATAAGCAGTTACTCTAAGATTTCAGTTTTATCTTTTGTAAGTTAAGATTTACCTAGTGTTTAGAATAAGAAACTCAACCTATACCAAAAGGTGCTCAGCATGCTTTTTCTAGAAATTTTGGGTTTTTATTTGTATTATAGTATGTGCCTACTGTATGTCTAACATTCCTTTATAGATTGCTTCCCAAAATTGCACAAGCTATTTATTAATACATTACCTTAACTGTATAATAGTGTATTAGATGATCACTTGCAGGTATAAAATTCTACCGTGGTGGTGCCTTGAGACATTAAACTGTTTTTTAACTCAACACCAGATGCATAGCACAGTTCTTCTAATCTATTTTGCAAAGCTTTTTCTATGTGGTTATTTCAAGTATCGTTTGAAGTCTTGATGGAGGAGATAAATACAGTTATTCCTAAAGAAGGGGTTTTGTTAGGACATCACAACTTGACTTTTTTATTTACTCATCTGTGAAGCCAGTGACTTTGATGACCGGACTGCAGAGAAGCATGTTGATTACCTTTTAATATTTACTGGCTAGCTGCCAAGCACAAATACAGATTCATTATGCGGTCAACAGCAGAGTGATAATACAGCATGGGTCACTACTTGTGAAAATAGGACTTTCTACATCAGTAATAGCAATTAGGTGATAATGCTTAATTATATTTTTCCTAATTAAAGGCAAACTGCTCCTCAATTAAAAGTTTTGCCCTTCACCTTTTACAAACAGAGGTGAAAATACATGGTTGAGGTACTTCTTTCCATCATCACACCAAACCTATGCAACATCAAAGAGCCAATGGAATGATTACAGGAAAGGATACAACACCCATTAAATCCAGTATTTGTGCAGTTCGATGCAGATATGGTCTGGGCATACATGAAACATACACAGAACCATACCATATATAGACAGTTTAACTTCTTCAAATATTGAAGAAATGTTCAGCGGTTTTAATTAAAATAGGTTAATAAATGAATTTTATTATGCCCGTTTTTTTTTTCTCCTTCATTCATTATCCATGAGGAAGTGTAACCTGGAAGCAGAAACATAGAGAAATTGGGTTTTCCTTCTCTGAAGGGGACTTTGTAATGTGAATTTCTCTGCTGTATGATCAAACTACATGCACTAGAGAAATTACATCTAAAACATCACAAAGACTCTAATTTAGTTCTATAAATTGTTGTTACAAGTTACTAAATAATAAGTCATTTTTTAAGTCTGAATTATTTCCCTGTTATTTACTGGTGTTGCTGTACTTTGTCTTTGTGACTTTTTTATCTCCGTTGTTTTGATCTATCTGCTTTTAAGTTTTTGGAATGCTGAATTTAGCATGCATAATAGAGCTATGCATTTATTAACTGTCACTTGAGAGCCAATTTTAATAAACATCATTCAACAATTGTTTATTATGAGGCAGGAACATATTCTGTTAGTTTTGCAATTTTTAAAAATGTTTTAGCCATGCATTGTCCTATTTAAAATCATAAGTATTTCTGACACTAAAAAAGACAGGCAGTTTCACAGAAATGTCAAAGTCAAATATTTTTCTTATGAAACAATATTTCATCAGGAGGAAGTTCGCTTTATGATCAGACTAAATTTTTATCCGTTACAAGTTATGACTAAAATTAAATCTATTAGGTTTTGCCTACTGCAGCATCTAAACATACTTAATTGACTTAAGATATAGTCAAAGATAAGCCATTAATTACGAGCTGTAAAGCACTGCGAGACCATGCTTGCACTGTATAAGAGACTACTGTATTGATGTTTGACTTTCAAACAGCATTTAATTTCTTAAGTAGCTACAGAAATAGCAGATGAATTTTGCAGATATGTGCTACCCTGTATGTTTTGGACCTTGTAAACCAAAGTACTGAAAATGTCTGTTAATTCATTTCTCTGATCTGTGCACAGGAGTGGTTAACTCCATTAACATGTAGGCAGAAAATGAAAGAATTACTTGTGCCTTATACCCTGCGTGATTACATGACTCTGAGAAAACTGTTATTAAGCAACTGATCCACAGCTAAAATAATTCTGTGACCTTACATTGAGTTAGTGCTCTAAGGTCATTATAAGCCTGCATGAAAGAGAGAAAAGCATCAAGTAATCCTAGATTTTGTCTAAGTATTTAAATTAACGGTCAAGCAGAGAGACCACTTATATCATGAATTCATAAGAAATTAAATTCATAAGAAGTTAAAAGATTCAGTATAGCCACTCACCATGCTCAGCCCATCAATGTAATTAAATAAGGAGAAAGGATTCCTCAGTTGTGTGGGAGTCTCATTTGTAAATACAGACACAGAGGGGAGAGGAGAGGAGTATTTCCACTCTCCACTTCCAGTGCTAAGATTGAGAGATGTCTGAGGTAGGTGGCTAGGCTTCAGAAGCAGAGACAGACTTGGGAGCTGAACACCCTAAAGGTGTTCAGTACCTGACCTAGGCATTTATCTCTGTACTAATAGTAGCATAATTCTGCAGGAATTGTTTTGTGGAGTGAAACAGCTGATGCTGAGGACCCAGTGCCCACAGGTTGTACATTTCAGGGCTTTACTTCAATTTAGCTGTTGTCCGGTCCTTACAAACTGAGTACATTTTGGACAAATCTCGTTCATGTGCAGAGACCGTGCAATTTGAATTAGGGGAGAGTACATGGATGCAATCTAAATTGCACTCCTGAGCTGAGCCACTGATGCAGAGTCATCCTTTGCTTTGCTTAGATACATGGTTTAACATTGCCAGCATTGCTATGTTAATGGTTGGACTTGATGATCTTTTCCAACCCTAACAAATTCTGATTTTATGATTCTCTTCTCCTGAAGCAACTTGTCTTCCTCTGTGAACTGTGGAAGGGTCCATGCAAGCTAAGTAGGAAGCCAAAACTGATTGCTCAATATGGAAATATTCCTCCTCCAACCACACCAATTGGTTTCAACTACTGTTCATTATTAATATTCTGAAATGCTTCGCTGACTCCAAAACCTCTGAAATGCTTTCTAGTCTAGTAGCCATCACTGGGACCTTGATGTTGATGCTTGACCTTTTCCTGAAAGCCTAATTATTGCACATTTTTTTAGTATTTATTTTTCTTTTCCTGAAGAGGTTAAAGAATGTATAGAAGGGAAGAAACTTCAGGAAATGTCAATTTTTTCACATATTGCACAAATCTCCATTCTGCCCTCCATAAGAAACCATCTAGTAGCTGCCATCACTACAGGGCTGGCCTCTGTCTGCCTTGTCAGAGATCAGTTTTAGTACAATAGCTCTTTTTTACCATATACTGTACAGTGATGGATGGTAGACACTGCCTGAAATAGCATAGATAGAACAGACATCTCTAGGATAAGCACATAAGATTTATGAGCCCACAGGTGCCTATAAATTGCCTTAGCATCCTCAGCAATTACCTTTGCTGAGATGGAAATGACATGGAGCAAACAGAAAGTGAGAAAGTTTGTAGAAACTACCTTAAACATAACGTGCATGCTTATGAAAGTGCATATATGTGTCTAAAATCTAACTGTATAAGATGTGTATGTGTATGTATGTCAGGAGCCTAGGGATTAGTTTATTCAGGTGGGGGAAATTGCTGAGTCTCTCAAGTAAACAATTTACCACTGCCCTAAATAGAATAATAGAAAAAAAGAATAATTCTATATTGCTCCATGAGTTAATTACTCCAGGTTGCTTCATCTCCTCTCCCTCTACCTCTATTGCCTAGAAAATATAAAACCAAAAAATGAATATTTAATTGCACTGTCTGCTTCCCCAAATTACGTTTTTGTCCAATTCACAGAGAAAGTAAATTTGTTCTGTTTTAAAAGATTTCTGTCCTCCCCAGCTAGTATCATCACACTCTGGGCTACTGCACTGTGTTTCAGTGTGTGTTAAATTATTGCTTCTCCTGCAGTGAATAGCCTCCATCAGGTCAACCAACTAGAAACAAAGAGCAGACACCTCTCAAAAACTGGAAAGGCAGCAGTTCAGATACTTACTAGACTGACAAGCTCATTTTCCCACAAGTGAACAGGTTATGACTCACTAGTAAAAGATGTAACAGATTTTTAATGTACTGCCCTTAATTTTAACAACCTCCTAGGAGGGGCTCAGTGGGAGATGACTTTTTATCTCAGGCCATAAAGCTGAAGTAGTTACGGTCCTGCAAGCAGAGTGTTTCAGCTTTTTTAAGTTGAATTTGAAAGCAACCACCTTAAATTTTGAGCAGATTGCAAAAAAACCCACCCACAAACACACAAAAAACCCAACACCACAAACTGTACAAAATAAACAGACCAAACTGTGAATAAGAACAAAGTTGATTCACTTGGAGCTGCCTGATGCAGGATATACACAAAATACACATTTTTCAGATGTTAGAGTGACCCTCTGTCTGGGATTATGGGCAGTGACATGCAAAGATTCAGACTGTATTTATTAACAAACAGTTGCTGTCCTTTTGTCAGCAGAGATGCCACTGCAAACACCAGACAGACCAGCTCATCTACCATATGGTCTCTCTCTTGTCCGTCCATTCTGAGTCACAAATGACAAAGGGGTTGTTCACTTCCCCGTGCTCTCAAAATTGTCCTGTGGGGACAATTGGAGCCCCTGAATGTGATGCGGCTTGTCGTTGTGATGTCTAATAGACAAAATCCACATAGGAGAACCAAGGACAGGCAAAAGGAGGAGATGTGGCCTGTGAGTTCCACAGCCTTCAGGTGAAGAAGAATGGCCATTTCACAGGTAAATCAATATAAATGGAAGTCCTGCTTTGTAGGATGAGGGGGCAGAAGGGGATGAACGGGGACACAGCAAATCCTTTCCATTCCCTTCAGATATTCAAACAGAAGCAGCATGTCCCTCTTCCCAGGAGCTCACAAACAATTCTGAGCATCCAGAGGACTTGTGAGTGAGTAGCTTTTCTGGGTGAGTAGGTTTTGACAGCATCTTATTTTCCTCCTCACACTTCCTCTGCATGGGGGATGTCAGCAGCTTTTCAGTGTTTGGGTGAAAGGAATAGTTTTCCGAATAGGAAATAAGGAAGAAACTTATGAAGGAGAAACGTGTTGAGGCTGGTGCTCTCAACAGCAAACTCCTTACTGGAGAGAGGAAAAGCATTAATCCAGCTGCTTTGCAAAGAGGAGTGAAGTAGCAACAAATTCTTTCAGAAATATGTGTTATAGTGGCAGCACAT